CATAAACAGAAACAGCAACTATTTTATTCAATATAGATTATAAATAATGCTTATTATTTATTTTATTACTGGTGCGAAAAAACCTTTGTCTTTGGAGGAACCAGCAAGAAATCCAGTGAGATTTTTTTGAAAAAAAAAAACAGCTTACGATCAATTATGTTAATGTTACTCAATTAGTAACACAAAATAAATCAGAATTTGCTTGGTAGCGCGATCACCTAATTCCCTGGGGTTATTGTCATCCATAAACTCGTCAATATTTTTATAACCCTTAATAAACAAACTTTGTTTAATAAAGTTTTTGAACTGTGAGGAGGTCAAAATTTGTATATTTTCTGGGATTATTTTTTGTAAAAGCATATTCATCGCCCCTAGAATAAATACTGACTCGGTGGAGTCAATATTTACTACTAGCTTGTGTCTGTTCCTAGTCTTTGCAGAATGCATATCACAATTTTATTTTTGTGTCACTGTCATTACATTTTCGTAGATGTATTAAGAAGCCAAAGTTAATTAAATTTTTGTCTGAGGCCCTCTTCAGTAAAACAAATACTCGTATAATTTCAGTGTCAGTCGCGCAGTCTGCAAAGTACCATACGATATTATGCTATGGGAATAGCTAAAGTAAACTAGTCTAGCTGTTCCAAATCTTGTAAGATTTCTGCAGGCTAAGTCTGCTTGCTAGTGTTGATATATGGGGGACCATCAAAGCTTCGCTTCTAGTGTAATTGCAAAAAGAAATGGTAGTTTCGACAGGACTCAGCATTAAGCTGCTATTTTACGCTGGCCGAACCGACTTATTCGTGCTACAACCACAATATAGTTGCAGCATGGCTCTACCACGTACAAAACGTGTTTGAGAAAAAAACTATTTTGAGGATATGTCGGCGGACTTACTGCTCTATATTGATAACGTATTTGTATACTAGAGTCGTGTATGTTTATAAATTGTAATCCGTAACTTTTTGATATAAGTGTCTATCTTCTGTTAACTTTTGCCTCGAAAAAAAATCTAGACAAATGTATGTAAAACTGCCTTTATGAAAAAAGTGTTGTTAAAATGGCTCCCAAATTATATAATAAATTACCTGATCACATAAAATGTTATAATGTGCAAAACTTTAAATCCATTCTAAGTAAATTTCTTATGGATAAATGTTATTATAACGTCAATGAATTTCTATTTACTAATAATTTAAATATGTAATTTAATAATTTTATTTTGACTCTATTTAATTTAATTGTTATTTAATTTGTTTTCATACTTATATAATATTTAATTTTATGATGTATGGGTATATAAATTCGTATGCTGTTAAATCATTTCACGGAGGTACCTACTATAAAACTGTAACATTGTCAGCCTTGTTACCTATGAAAACGAATAAAATGATTGATTGATTGATATAACCCTCACAGAAGTTAGAGGACGCCTGTGCCAACTTCACTTTCATTTACCGTATAATATCTTTACATATAAATAAAATTAAAGTGTCTGTCTTCTATATCGTAATAACTACTTTCTATTAAGACCATTTTTAAAATGGTTGTCTGTGTCTCTCCGAGGTAATCATCGCCACCGCTGAACCGATTGTGATGATGAATCTTTACGAAACGATAGAGAGGAATGCAAGGAGGGATCTGGGTCTGGGCTATATTTCCTAAAAACTTGAAGATTTTTTGGGAAAACGAAAAGTTGATAAAAATATAACGCCGCATTAATAGACCCAAGCGAAGCCAGTGTGGCTACTATAAAACTATTATATATAGTATTATAATACCATAAAACTATGTTCTATACATAGCATTATATAAAAAACGACGGGTTGCACACCGGGAGTGCCAGCAGAGGTGAAAATTTGAATATTTACGTTGTGCATTTTTGATATTTTGGAATGGTTAGGGAATAATTTTGCACGAATTGCTTTAATTATCAGTATAAAAGTACTATAATTTATGTGGTAGAATACAATATTTATTTATTGCGCTATCGTACACAAACATGACAATTTATATTACATTAAAAAGTTTATCTCTCAGAAAAGTCAACTTCCATCCATAATTTCGACGACGTCTTACGAATTTTCGATCAGGTCACGTGTCCTGACGTGAGTTTAACATTTTTTACCCGTTACAAAAAAGTGTACAACGCCGCTAAAGAAGTTTTCACTTCAACAAAAATTATTAGGTACCGTGTAGTGGCGTGTATTTAAGAGTGTCCACTCGTCAGTCGTAAGAGGCAGCAAAGGAAAAAAAAAACAGAAGATAGGCAGCAGCGTCTTCCTATTAACAACGAAAAATAAAAAAACTTGTTACCAACCGCCTGCCAAGTGTGGCAACTATGACATTTGGGGGATATTTATCCCCCCCCCTATGTGGAAATCTATGGGTAATGTCTAATGTCTAAGGATAATGGCAATGTTATAACTTCTAGTTGTATAACGATTGGGATACTTATTTTATACCAAGATATTTCACAATACTTATTGGTTTAAATTACCTACCTTTGACTAGAGAACTACGTTGCACTAATTAGCAAGATAATAATCGCGATGACATTCAATAAAATATAAAATCTTACTTTGCCTCATAATAATTACATACTAATGCTGGTGTAAGGCGGTTTCAAAACCCGTTTACGTGATTTAACATTTTTTTTGTTCTTACCTTTTTACGTCAACTATACGGTGAAGCCCCGAAACTAATTTGAATTTTAATGATAAAGTATTAATTTTTTTATCGATAACTATTTTTACTGATTGTTGTTTACTAATTTTTTTGTGTAAAATATTTATCGTCTGCTAATATTTAACGCCAGGTAGTGGCGGCATAAGAAATTACACTACCCCATATCGTTCCGAGTGTGTTGTATGAAGCGACAGAAGGAAAGGACACCGAGGAGGGGTCTACCCATCTTACCCAGCGTAGCAACAATGGCATTTTATTGAGGAGGCTAATTTTTAGCTCTAGATTTTTGATAGGCTGTAAAGATGATGGTGACGATGATGATGTTTTGTGTTAAGTATGTTTTTTTATAGGATAGGGTGATAAACGAGCACCCAATAGTAAGTGGATGCTGTGACCCATAGACATCTACATGTATCCTCGATTACGAATCAAAATGCAGATGCGCTGTACCCGTGAGGAATAAGATGTAATGCCTCTTTTCCAATAAAAATGGTCTCCGGTTCTCTACACTCACCGTACGAAACACAGCAGCATCAAGCTACAACTTCACGCTGGTATTTTGTGAGAACGAAACTATATTACTAATATAACTGCAGCATGGCTCTACCAAGTATTTCTTTACAACATGTAGAGTCATTAGTTATTATATTATTAAGTAAAAATCCGGGATAATCCAGGGAAGTTAATTAGTTAGACCCATCATTGGACAATATTTAATACAATCGTCCCGTGAAAGCCGAAAAGGGCGTCTATGGAATAATGCCTGAAAAACCTCATGGCTCTGGAAATATAGCGATTTTACCAGTGGTTACGTCAAACAAAATAGCAGCATGAAAGGTGCGACGACAGCTGATACAGTGACGTCAATCTGCCCGTAAAGCGTGATGATTAAAGATTTAACGGGAGAGACTCATTTCCAGCAGTGGACTTTTACGGGCTGATGATAATGATGATGATTTAAAAAAATTGTAGTATCAAGAAGTGGTTCGTTATATAAGATAGTCACATCAAAAAAAGTCTTGATATTTTACATCTAGGTTCCGCAATAAAATATTATCGTGCGTAAGCGTACCTAAAATACCACCAAGTATAAATACAAAGTGATTTATTTACGTACCTAATTTGTAATACATAATGATAGTAATAATGTGCTGCTAAATAAACTATTTCCTGTCTTTACTCATTCTAATAAAAAAGTAAATGAAAGTAAAATAATTAAAAATACAAAAGTTACGTACCTACCTACTTAATCGAAGTCTATAAAGTTAAATGGAACAACTTATATGAATCAATCGTAAATTTTCCGCGTGAGCATTAAACATATTGGATTTAGTAAGAAAAATTAGTATCGCTGCTCGCTGCTGATTATGCGTGTTATGTTTTTTTTTATTTTCTCTTTCCTCAAACGGGCTTTTAACGATTTGTATTGAATATATTATTTTATAACAAAGTTTCTAGTTTTTCAATACTTTTTTTTATTTAAAGCTAAGGAATACAAATGAAAATTCAGTCCATATTATGAAAAATTGATGACGTGACCAACATCGCGAAATCTACTTTCGCTTAAGAATCTAAATGTCGATACGTTGTTACTCCGGGGACTAAGATTGACCACTTCGTTACCAAGAACAAGAATCTCCAGATTTTCGTTACTCACCATACAAAACATATTACGTTTGTATTTTTTGCTGAATTATGTATCATGTGCTGTATAAGCAAGTACATTTTTCTCGTTCGCCAGTAATATGTAAATAATGCTCTCCAAGCCGAATTTCGGTTACTGTGAGCAATCTCGATGGAGACCAGCCATTTGCGTAGGACAAGATTTTATAGATAGTGCCCGAGCCAGATTGTACATTGTGCAAGCACAGGCGCATTCCCTATTCCCTCACTGATTTAACATATACTTAATAAGCTACTAATTGTAGTAGGCTGCATCATGGCTCTACCATGAACAAACTTGTTATGGTAGATTTAAAAAAAAACACTATAGGTTTTAAAAACAACAACAACAAAGGTGTATTGAGTTTATATTCGTTTTCATTTGGCGAAATACTATTGATAACTGTAATTTATTGAGCAGAATTATTTAAATAGCAAAAATAAATCACGGTCAATGTTTCGTTCAATCAATGAATGACGCACTCGCAAGGGGAGTTCACCGGGCGGGTCTAGCGACGCGACGCGGTCGCGTGCTCGTCGCCTTTATAACCGAGCACGTTCTTAATTCAAATCATTCACACAGCGACGTTAGCACAGGCAAGACGTGAATACTAATATTCATCCTAATCATAATTTTCACTTTGAGAAAAATGAAAAAGTACTCAGTTCTCGGTAACAAGAAAAAAGTTACAATGGAAGTCAATGCGACCCGTCTCAAAGTTGTCGGAAACAACTGTATAGTTATAGTGACGACCAACCAAGGCGATATCGAAGTGGTCGGCAACGATTGCCGTGTGGAAGTGGTCAATAACTACGGTGTCATCAATCTAGTGGGTGGAAATGGACTTGTGACTATTAACAAGCGATGGCGTGGAGACAAAGTGCAGCTGGTCGGACCCAACTGTCACGTTATGGTAAACGGGAAGGATAAGACGGAACCGTCTTACGAGCCCCAGCTATCGCCCTTTAGCAAGGACCTGGACGATGTCATCGAATCAATCTTCAGCTTCGTCATGCGTTGATGCTTCTATGAAGACGTAATGTGTTTTAAAATGTGAACGGATCTGTTCTCTTGGAGAGAACAGCGGACTCTCAGTGTTTACGGACACTCCTCACTAATGTTATGGAGTTCATTGAGGTTGATTACCTTTCTATGTGATTTTTGTAAGCGCTACATAATAAACAGTATTATTAGTTACAATTTCCTCGTTTAATTTTAATTGATCACTAATGACATACATTGTGTACAACCAGTTATAAGACAGTTTTTAAATGACAATATATTAGTATATTAATATTCTGCTATAGTTTGATTCCTTTTTTAAATGTCTACACTGTACGATATCTCTGAGATATTTTTTGATATTTACCGACATTGATTTATATTTACCGATATGGTATGTTATTCGCCTTCTTCATAATGGTCTTAAATTTTTAATCAAAACTGGATCCAATGATAATTGTAATCGATTTTTTTTAATATAATGAAATTATATATCTTATTTTTAAATGATTAAGTTCCAATTGGTTTAAGGCAAGGGGAATTATGGATAAAGTATAAGATGGCCTCGGTTTTACTTTTTCCTAAATCAACGAAAGCCATCAGTTATTTATATAATGTGTATGATTTCATAAAAACAATATATAAGTTATATTTCTCTATAATCACCATACAAAACAAAACAGCGCTAAGCTGTTATTTAATAACGTTGCACAGCGACAATTTCATGCAATACGTGAGAGCGGCGGTTCTTTCACGGTCGAGCCGACCCGTTCACGCTACCATCATAATATAACTGCAGTAGGGCTCTACCACACATACCGTGTAATTAAAATTACAATCTGGAAGTCTTCACGGCAAGAGTAAACAGACTTATGCTCAGACAGTGCGTTTAACCATCTTGAGCCTAATCAGTAATCGCCACTTACAAGACGAAATCCGTAGCCCGCACTCGCTTTGCGAAATCAACAAATATTAGATGTTCCTCGAAAGCAATGTAAATATAAATTTAAAAATTAATAAATGAGTGAAATTTTCTTTCACCCCCCACACCCCGTACTGGATTACATAAAATTCTCCCGGGTTGGTCCTGTCGATAGTTGGTAACCCTATCTATGCGTGATGATATTCCAATTACATTTATACTACATTGGTATTGGTGGAGATCGAACTTGCGTTGCTCGCGTAGTTGCAAACATTATAAATACCTAAGCGAAAGCAACTAATTATAATAGTGACCTACCACAACTCTCTCTCTTACTTTAAACTTTTACAGTTGTTCCATAACAAGTGGTAAAATAAAAAAAAATTGTACAACCGACTTCGAAACGACCTAATCAATGTATTCGAAGTCAATTAAATACACATTATTAAAGAAAAATCAAAAACTACTGGTCAGATCTTGATAAATAATATATGAGACCACATGAATAGCACCAGCTTTCAAACAAAAAAAGAATCATTAAAATCGGTTCACCCAGAGAAAAGTTCTGAAGTAACACACATAAAAAACATACAGTCGAATTGATTACCTCCTCCTTTTGGAAGTCGGTAAAAAATTATTAATAAACCAATAAAAAATTATGAAAGTAAGCCAATGAAATGCGCCGGTGAAAGTTTTCTTTTTTGCTGTATTACCAAATTCTTCTATATAACATGGACATGGTAAACATATATAAAATATATCACAAATTAGGGCTCTCTCTGTTCATCAGTGGTAATTATACGCCACAAGGCATCATATCGCATCGCACTGGACCATGTTTTGTAGCATTCCTTGACGGCCGGGCTATGTTGTGAAGGGGTGTAATTATGGTTAATTTATCTTTTAAGTTGGTTTGCCTAAATATCTTTTAAATTCCATCATCTTGTCGATGTCGGTGTAACAATACATTTAATGTTGAAATAAATAATAATATAGTATACTAGCGATCTTAATGGCTTCGCACGGGTGATATCTGGCTTCTACAACAGCGCCATCTACCGGGTACTATGCCTATAACCTTCGCGGAAGTGCAAACAGTATGTCGACAAAATTTTACTGCAACCTGATGAACGGTATAGCAGCGCATAAAATACGAACATACAGAAATTAATTTTTATATGTTAGATTAAATTTTAACCTTCATTTTTTAAAATACAACGATTTGCGAAAATATAGGTAAATTCTTTATAATAAATTTGTACTTGATAATTTAACGTAGGTTTTGTATTACGTCCGTAATAACGTTTTGTCTCAGCAAAGTTCCATTTACCAGGCTCGTTAGGCTTTTAGGAGTTTTGAGTAAGGGATCTTTTACCAAACGCTACTCTAGTGCCGCTACCACTACTGTGTGGCAGCCGATACAAGCATAGCAATTATGGCAGGCAGTTACTATAACAGGAGAAACCAGCGGTAGTAGACTTTTACGAGCTGATGAAGGAGAAGATATACTACATATGTATGTGTATTAGTAAAGTTAAATTAGTCTTTTGACCTTCTTCGTGACCTACAACAGAACGGATATAGATGAAAGCGGACTTCCCCTTCGAACTCATTTTTAAGGATATACGAGTATTCTTACGTGGAATGTACTTTTATGAGTAAACCGGATAATGGCCGACTAACGTAAGTTAGAGGACTAGTATGAAGGTTAAGATATTTTATATAACGTGTGAAATATTTATACTAATGTACATATAAATTATTATGCAAATGAACCACATTTTGAAACGGTACTAATAGATTATATCAAATATGGCGTTTAATAAAAGAAATTTTAATTTCCTACGTCAAAAATTAAAGCGCTCGTTTAGAGCTTTCTTTTTAACTCCTGAAGAAATAGAGGCGTGGGGAGGGGTGACATTATACCTATATATAATGTGTATATCTGAGTGTCTGTCTGTTATAGTATATTATCTATAGTGGCATCGTAGCTCCCATACGGATTAATTGATTTAGATTTAGTTTTTTTTGTTGGGAAGGTGACGTGATAGAGAGTGTTCTTAGCTATGATTAAAGTAAATCTTTTCAGCCGTTTCAAGATTATCAGATTTTTTAAAGTTTTTAATTTTTAAATTTAAGTTACCATTTCTTAAACGGAAGTTTTTGAAAATGTCTAGAGAAGTTATTTGCGTATTTGATCGAAATTGCAACTAATAGTTTATTCCTATCTAATACTTTTAAAGGCAAATTTATCTAGTTATTCTAGACTTCCGAAACCTCGTTAGAAAGTATTAAATCTGAGGACTTCTATGTATCTATAATCTAAGATATGTATGCAAAATATAGTGTGGTGTACCTATTCCATTTTTTATAAATCAAAGTGACATTCCACCTGAAGGGGTTACTGTATCATCATCAACCATCATTACAGCTCTTCACAAGTCCACTGCTGAACACAGGCCTCCCCCAAGGTATGCCACACCGCACATCCCACCATGGTTACTGTATGTAATGAACAAATTTGCAAATTTCTCCTGAAAGAAATTTCAAATAAATAGAAGTCACAGAGTCGTAACTGATAAGTACTAAGACGAAATTCCTCACAGCCTATGAATTATACAGTATCCGATACATTTTAAACCGGATCACATTGGGTGCAGTGTTTTTAACGGCAGGTTTACTTTACCGTTATAAACGCTACATATAAGAAGATAAAACTTACTCCAACTGACAGGAAGCCCTACCAGTTCTTAGAATTGTCGATTAAAACGACAATCGTATATGTGCGAGCATACTGGGTATTTGCACTTACAATTTACAAAGGGGGCTCCCAATAAAATGAGAAACCCTTTATCTTAATGAGTATAAAATATATATTTAGGCATCCACTACTTTTCCTGCAACCAGGATGATGCCACATTTTTTTTTATAGAATAAAGGTGACAAACGAGCACACAGTCCACCTGATGTTAAGTGGTTTCTGTAACGCATAGACATCCATCTACATCTATCCTGGATTATGGAATTAAAATGCAGATGCGTTGTCATCCGTGAGGACTTAAATGGAATGCCTCGTTTCCAGTAAAAAGGATCTCCGGTTCCTCTACACTTACCATACGAAACACAGTAGCGTTAAGCTGCTATTTTATGATGGTATTCAGTGAGAGCGTGGTCCTTCCCCTCAGTCGAGCCGAACAATTCGTGCTACAACTATACCAATATAGATGCAGAATGGGTCTACCACGTAAAATAAGGTGTAAAATTTGACAGATTTCATAGCGGGGAAGTTAATTTGTTAAAGAAATTTAAACGTCATTGTTTCTTTCTGTATGATATTAGTTATGTTTTATATTAATAGATTAAAATAAATAAACCAAACCACAGATATTCATAAAAGTAGAAAAATTAAAAAATAGTAAAAATGTATAAAAAAATTAAAGAGCAAACCACGAGATACTATTTTGTGTGTTAATACAATGCTCTAGAAACTGATAAACTTTTATTTAAACCTAACTTCTCAATTAAATGACGTTGTTTAACAACAAACTTCACTTCAGTGACAACTAGCTACATCTGATGAGCGAAAGGTTTTAAGCTCTCATTGTTCTGTTTTTAATGTCTTTGTTTTCATTTGTTTTTATTTCCGATTGTGCTCTTTTCATAAGGCGTAACCTGATAAAGTAACTACGACCTAATAACTAACCTAATCTTGTAGCAAAATTAAATGACAGATACTTTTATCATAAAACACAGAAGGAAAATTCGTGTTTGCTTGAAGATTCATTCTAAATAAACACAAAATTTGGCTTAGTCATAAACATTTCTATAACTTAGCCCCGATAGCATTGACGTATATTTGTAACAATAAACACGATAAGAAGTATGATAACAGAAAATGCGTAGGTACACGTGAAAGATATTTTAAAACTAGAAATGTCGAGGTTACGGTAAATTTAATACTTTAAATTATATATTAGACTAACGCCCTGTACCGGCTTCGCCTGTGCCGATCTATTAACGATAATCAAAGACCATTTTATTTAAAAAAATACTGGTCAAGTGTATGGCGGGCCACGCACAATCTAGAAGTAGAGTTC